GTCTTTGTTTTATACCCTAACTTGATACGTAGATAACTTGGAGTTCTTTTGGTGGATGTTTTTGGTTCCTTATGGTGGTTCTTCAGGAGGGATGCTTTCGATTATTGTCTTCCGTTCCCTCGTCTGACCTTAGTTTCTGTGTATGCGTTCTAACTTATTATGTGGCCGCATGATCACTTTCCTTTTGAGAGGTTGTCCTGTCGTGAGCATGTGGGTGCAAATAACATTGGTTTGTACTTTGTCTTTCAGTTTTGGGATTGCTTTTGTAGCATGTTGTGTGGGATACTTGGAGATGTACTCCGTAATTACCTTGGTTTCGCCTTTTGTTTTGTTGGGGCTGGATTTCAGGGACGAAATCCCTTTAAGATGGGAAGGTTGTAATGACTCGGTCATTTTCCTTCCTTTCCTTTCCTTTCCTCTGATTTTCACGGATATTTTTTTTTTTTCCGTTGATCTTTTCCTTTCTGAGTTTAATTTCTCACTACTTAATGTCATCTTGAGTGCTCGGGGATGGTTTCTGAGTATTTTTTCCTTAGATTGACGACTTCCTTTGAGGACCGAGTCATTTTTACGTTTTCACTTTTGTGACACTATTCACTTTTCGTCTTTTTCTCAGTTATCAATTTGTTGGAATAACCTCATTTTTCATGTTCGGATTTGATTCTGGTTTTGCATGCATCCACAATATTTAAATTCCACGCTATGTGTATTTTTACTTTTGTAGAAAAGCATGCTAGTTGTGGTCTTTCTTCCGTAGGGGTGTGGATGCACACTTCTTTGTAATTTCTCTTTCTTTTGGGGTCATTTGTGTAATTATTGTAAGTAATTATTTTTCGTCTTAGGGACCATTTTATAATTTTATTTGGAAGATATTTTCAAAAAGGACCTTTTTGCAATTTTTAAAAAGTGTGACAAGTGTCACACTCTCATTGGTCCACTTGTTGACATTTGTGTGGAAACACTTTGATGCCTTGGATGATGACATGTAAAGGGTAGAGATTCAACCACTTGTTGGCTTAGGATTGGTGCACTTGTTGGTTTAGATGGTTGACAAGTGTAGGCTTGAGATAGACCTAGGATGGAGCCTTGGATGAGTGACAAGTGTATACTCCAAATTAAGTCTTGCAATTAATTTTTGGGCCACTTTGGAATTATGTGGTTAAGAGGGGTTTTGGTGCAATTGCCCAAAACTTGTGTGTGTTGACCTTCGTTTAAGACCACATAGTGAGTGGAGGATTTTTATTTCCTCTACTCACATTCTTTCACACTTAATTTCTATCTCTTCCCTCTCTTGTAAAGAAAACCCTAGCCTCCATGGATGGAGCTTGAAACTTAGGCCTTGACCTTGATTTTTGATGGCCTTCCACTCACCTTAGACCTTGAAGCTTGGAACACTTTTTGTTCCCCTCATCCTCATCTACATAACCCTAGAAGGGTTTGCCATTTTGTATTGATTTGCCTTGGATTCTAGAGAGACTCTTCTCTAGTGAGGTAGGGGATGTTATAGGGTTATATTTTCGTTTCTTGCATGCTATTGATGCTTTTACAAGTTGTATGCATGTCTTTTGTTAATTTGAGAAATTAGTGATTTATCATATCTTGCGTATCACTCATTTTAGACTTGATAAATGGAATGGCCATGAGTTGATCTTTGATATATATTAATTTAGGATGATCAAATCTAGAGATTAAATGGATTTAATTTGATTTAAATTCTAGCAAATTGTATTTTACTTGTATTCCATTTTAGACTTGAGATATGGTATGACCATGATTTGGTGCTTGATATATGTTAATTAGGGATCATTTTAATAACTTTTGAAATCTAAAGATTTGATTAATTTAAATTAATTAAATTCTATATGATGTTATCTTGCTCATTTGACACTTTTGATTTGATAAATGTAATGAGTATGCTATGTTGTTTAACATATATTAATTTGACGCTATTCGAATTTGATTTGAAATCTAGAGAATTTGATTATCTTGTTTAATTAAATTTTATCTAATGGCTCCATGGATCTATTGGTATTTTAGAAGTTGTTTCTATATTCAAATCATGGACTTGAACTTGTTATGTATTCACTTTGTTGTGTTTTGAGCATTGGACAACTTTGTTGTTATATTTATATTCATGAGAACATGTTTTCTTTATGGAATATATTGATGCTACGTGTAATGAATTGTACACTTTGTAATTGATATTATAGATGCCATTTTAGAATTGAAACTCTAAGGTATAGATTGTGCGGTTTCAACATACTTGTGCATGGAAGGTGGTTTTCGTGCATTATATAAATTACGTATAAGTTGTGAACTTATTTGATTATTTTGGAGTCTTGGGACATTGTTACAAGTTACATGGCTTAAGTTTGGCTCTAGTGTGGGAGGTATGAGTTCTCCCCAATTGAGATAATGCGCACTAGAGTGGTCTTCCCAGCGGGTTAATGCCCGGAATAACCATTTAGTTTTCGGCGGAAATCCGAGACATGATGTCCAAGTCTTCCACTATTTGATTTCGCATTCAATTCCAAGTTGACAATCATGTTTAATTGTGACTTGTGGTTTTGGCTATTGGCGATTGATGTTGTTAACTACATCCATACTAAATTGTTATATTTAGTTGTTTTCATGCTTTTAGATTTCAAGTTGATAGCTTAGAGAATCTATGTCTTGATGTGTGGTATTTGAAATTCTAATTGTACTAAATTGTTATATTTAGTTGTTATTGCATTTTAGATTTCAAGATTGTAACCTTGAGAATCTATATCTTGATACTTGTGTAGCATGCTTCTATGTTGGTTAATTGCGTAGATATTGTGATTTGTGCTTTGTTGTTCAAATGTGACTTTGGAATGATCCTATCGATTCATTTGGAACATAGACTTTAGGTGGCATGATCCACTATAATTGTTTTAACATTTTAGATTTCAAGTTAGTGACCTTGAGAATCTACATCTTGTAGCTTTGTATAGCATGCTCCCACGTTACTTGAATTGCACGAATGATGTGATTTGTGTTAGAAATGATCTTAGGTAGCTTAGGAAGCTCCCTGGGTCACATTTTGACATAGATGTCAGGTGGCATGAGCCCCTTTAACATGGTGATAAAATTGTAAAAATTTAGGTCGATGTATGCTCATCTCCTACGAGTAGCTTTATGTTACTCACCCACGTTGTGGGGACATTTTTCAGGTACAGGAATTAAAGTTGAGATTTTCATTATGCTTGGATGGTTTGTGGACTTGGAGGTTTCCATCTTTGTGAAGGTTAGCTTGGAATGCCATTTGTAACCTTATTTGTCAAAATGTGTATATTTGATTCCATATATGTAGTGTGTACATGAGTGCACTCCTTACAATGTATTCAACATGTATAAGATGAGGCCGGAGGCCAATGTCATGTATTTTGTATCCTATGAGACTTATGATTTCATGAAATATTATGAAAATATTGAAAAATGCCAAGTAATAGTTTCACCATGTTTACATCGGGTGTGGGAATTCCATTTTTTATTCTTTCATAGCGTCTCATTAATCATATACGAAGTGTGGCCAAGAGCCAAACGGTCATTTGAAGTCAATTGTTAATTTTAGATTTCAAAATTTTCATTTCAAGTTCATTTTCGCCTTTTTGGCCGTTGGGGGGTCGGATTTGACTCGACCATTTTCGAGAACCGTGGACCATTCCCGTGCTCTCAAAATCACCATTTAAATTTGCGTGAATGATCGTTTTCATGAAAAACTCTTTCGTTTGTGTTTTGAGCCTCCTATGGATTCATTTCACATTTTTGTTGAAAAATTCGGCTAAAGGGCATTTTGGGAATTTTCTTTGGGAAATAAATTCCGTTCTTGACTCTGTCACATAGAAAATGTGATTTTAGGGGGAGTTTTTTCACGACATTTTTCCGAAAAATGTCATCTTGACCTCGAAAACTGTGTTGCAAACTCATTTTTCTGCTAAAACACTATTTCTGCTGCATTTTGGGTGTTCTGTTCAAGTTGAACCAGTTCAAGAATAGTTGAACCAGTTCAAGGTGTCATTTTGGTTCAGCTTGGGCATACTTCTAATGTTGAACCGGTTCAAGAATGTTGAACCGGTTCAAGTCTTCCAGAGTTTTCAGTTTTGGACTTCCAACTTTAAACTGATGTAACTTCCTCGTTTTAACTCCGAATTGGTCCGTTCTTGAGTCTAAACTGACCGCGTCGAAATAAGATTTCCAATGGTATGAATTTTAGTTTCAGATTCTTTTCCTAGCTCATGATATCCTTGTTTTAGTGAGAGGGTGTCGAATTTGGTTTGAACCGGGATAGGGTTCTTCTGGGATTTCATTTCCTTTAGCCTTGAGACTTCATGTGAAGTTACCAAAGGATGTTTTTGGATGTTTTTAATCTCATTTGACTTGTTGGGAATCAAATTCCTTCCTCTTAGGGTAAAATGACCATTTTACCCTTGGTCTTTCTTTTGGTAGGGTTTTGATACCCTTGTCTTCATTTTGTTTCCGCTGAGTCTCGAAATTCCTTGAAGGGTCATTCTTGTGTCTTAGGGATGATGTACAACTCTAAGGACTTGGTTTCATTTTGCTTCCGCATTTTGGATCCGCTTCGGGTCATCACAGGACATATTGGGTTGAAAAATCCAGGGTCGTCACAGTTAAGCATGCTTTTCAAATAACAAACACCTTAGGAAATAGTCACATAGCAATGTAAATGACTCCCCAAACAATCCTAGGTAGGCCTTTACCCGTTGTCCTAATGGTTTTCGAACTATTGCTCTGATACCAAATTTGTAATGACCCAAAAATGATACTAATTATATAAAAAAAAATTTGGCATGACGTCTGCTAAAAAGGGTCCTACAACAACCTGCTTAGATGAATAAAAATGCAATGGCCTCTCTTGGACCTTAAAAATATATCTAACCTGTCCTAACACATAATGCAAATAATACATTTCAACATTCCTTTCATCTAGTCATTATGCTTCAACATAGTTCAGCTCATGGTGGAAAAACTACATGCCATCTAATCCAAATATCACAATTACAGTCCCAAAAATATATGGTTAAGATCTAAAGTCTATGTCTTACAACGTTTAGACAACTTATACTAAAGTTACAGCCCATAAATATAATTACAATAACAAGAGTCCACAAATCTCTATACCGAATATAACAAACTAAGGTTTTACAAAAAAAAAATAAGGGACTTAATACAAAAATAGCAAAATGGTTTTCTAATCCAAATTTGGCCTGTAATGGAACATCATCCGCCACTTCTTTCCTATTTCCTGAAAAAAAAAAAAATGTTAAATAATAGGGTGAGCATAAAGCTCAGTAAGAAGTGCCTAGGGCACACCTCTTGAGACCCCGTGAATCCAACAATGAATAGAAACAAAGTAATTGGGGACATGCTATGCCAGGGAAAAATAATCACAATATCACATTTATAAACTAAGTCATGAATGGATATGCCGTGCAATGGGTGCAATGTAATGCAATGTCGCTCCCTATTTTTCAAAACCATTTCCATCATTATTTCCAAACCATTAGTGAGACACGTCCCATGGTGACCCCATGACGGCACGAGAGGAGGATTGGCTACTATCCCTGACCCATGGTAACCCCGTGGTGTCATATGGGGCCCAGGTAACTCAACCACACTAAGGAAATCTCCCTAGTCCCCTCTAGGCCTCACTAACACCACGGCCCTTAGGTAACCCCTAGGCGACCGGATTTTCACAAAAATAAAAAATAAAAAAATCCTCTTCAAAACTTCTTTCCAAAAATTCATTTCATTTCTTTCAAATCAATTTGGTTTTTCTATTCTTTCCCAATGAATGCATATATGTCTTATGCATTTCAATGCCATGCTAATAAAGAAATTTTTATTCCTTATAAGTCAAATATTTACAATATACATGCCTCATAGAAATATTCTAGAAATTTACATCATGCTTCAAAATCATAAAATTCAGCATTTTAAAGCACAATAGGCATAAAATTTAACATCGCTTTAACATAGTTCTTTATCACATAACAACTAACATATATATACACATCTTATATACAACACATAACAAAAATTGCATGAAGTATACACCAATTCAGCATATTATAACACAAATTATGAAAAATAATTCACCAAAATCTAAGATATTGTGGATTAAAAACTGCTACCTCACTTAGATGCAAAACCCCCAATTTTGTGCCCTAAATTTCAAAATCCAAAGATGCTCCAAATTGAAATCAGCTCCCATCAAAATGAAGGCTTCAACTAGCTTATCAAATTTGCCTTACGTGGCAAATCAAATTCTCAAAGTGGAAGAGAGATCAAGCTTAATTGATGTGGAAAAGAAAAAGAAAAAAAGAGAATCGGTGAGAGAGAGAGACTGAATGAAAAAAAATGGGTCTTGGTCACTTATGATAAGGGTGGGCTCCCCCAACTTTTCCATTTAATACATATATACATATATTGAAAGTACATTTGATTTTTTTTTAACACAGTACATTGAAAAGTTGACCAACTATTAAGCTCCACTAGTCCACTAAATAATAAAAATATGCATTTTCCCAAGGTATAATATTTAAACTTAAATAGAAAGAGAGAATATAGAAAATGTCTCTTTGTGACTATTAATGGTCCAAGCATTGAAAAAAAAAAAAAAGGTAATATTACATATTAGTTCTACTCTTAACTATTTTGTTGGGGAAAAAATTTAAATAGCACAAAATTGATGCAAGAACTGTGGAAATATAGTCTACATATAGAGGACAGGAAAAGCAGAATGAAGCAACAAAATAGTCGGGGTTGGTGCATTTGATTTTTTTTTTTCCCTTAACCGACTATAAATCAGAGTTCAATTAACAGCATCATCAGCACCAGTTAGTAGATCAACATATCTATCAAGTTGTACTTGTTTTCTTTTCCTATGGTGAGATGACCACATAATTAAATTCACTGGATATAAGACCAAATTGGGTAAGAGACAGAGTCACAAAATCGACAAGAGTTATGGATATATGGAAGCAAAAAACCACAAGAGTCGAGAGCCGATTTTGAATTGCAACATCAGGAACTGAAGCCTAATAAAATTAACAACATAAATGTTACTCACGTAACTAACTAACAAACAAACAAAAAAGGATAACAGTAATGGTATTAGATTTTTAATTAACCTTATTACATGCAAGATGACATGATTATTATTTTATTTCTTCAAAGAATTTTTTAGGCAATAAACTTGTCTAAATGCCTAGGAATTTTTTTTTTTTGCCTAAAAAACTAAAAAAAAATAAAACTTATGTCAAATAGTGGTCTAATATTAATAATTAATCTTAATCACTTAATTTAAACAATTTTGTGATTATCCATATTTAAGAGATATGGTGCATTGTATGTGATAGGAATACATTGTATCATAAACTCTTATATGCCTTGACATTATAAATGATTATGCGGATGCATTGTATGTGGTTATATAGTATTTAATCTCTAATAAACTTCCAAAGATGAAATATATGTTTTTTTTTTTTTTTTAATTTTGTTTTTTTATCAAGATTTATATCATTGGACCCATGAGTTTTATTTATGCAGAAATTGTTAACACCCAATAAAGTAAAGCCCCATCAGAATAACTACTACTGTAATAAATAAATATACGTGTATGTATATAGTTCTAAACTATACAATCTTAATAATTTTTCCTTAATTTAGATTTTACCTTATTTTGTATCAATATTGTTAACCCATCTTTGTTTTTAATTTTGCTTTACAAGAACTTTGACAAATTAGTGGGTGAACAAACAATTTCCAAAAATCAACTAAAGGTGTTCACAGAAGATATATAAAAAATACCTTTTCATTGAAGAGAGTTGTGTATTGGTGGAAGGCATGATGCACTCTATAGTTTTTGTCTTCTTCGTATTGGCGTAAATGCTTCTGAAATTGACAGATTTTCCAGCCTCAATTCCTTTAACTGATGAAAAATAACTTTATCCGTGACTTCCTCATCACCTCCAATTATTTTTTCCAATGCCTCACATTCTCTAACTAGTTCATGTAGTTTTGGAAGACATCTTGCAGTGGACGCGAAGAACAGATACTTCATTGATCTACAACTACCAACTTTTAATACTTTCAATTTACCAAAATTATCCAATAGAGATGGTCCATGAGTTTTTGAACTCCATTTCGGTTTGACAAGTGGATGTTCCATGTCCTCACATCCCTAAACGAAAAGAAACTTCCAAGTCTGAAAACCACTCTCCTTCTCTGTCGTGAAGCACCTTCTTTAAACCTTCCAAATAAAACAAAAATAGCACTTCAGCATTCGCAATCAAAACGTCAAGCCCATCCATAAGAGTAATACCCTCAAGTCCCAAGACCTTTGTTTTTGTTTGTTTGTCAAACTCTAAATGATAAGAATAATCATCAGACCCAATCCATATTTTATATTTCGTTAACAACTGAAAGCTGGGAATGTTCTTGGGTAGTCGTAAGAAGACATCTGTTGGTATATAAATATCTAAAGTGGTTAAGCAAGTGAAACAATTTATCTTAACAATGCTTGCATTGCCTTTAACCTCCCATCGATTATATCCCTTTGAAATGTACAATTCCTCCAGGTTGGATAGACATGACAGGAAACCCGACAAAAATCCTATACCTTTGTTAAATTTTCTTAAATCCAACAACCACAAGCAAGTCAACTGTCCTATTTCCAGAACCATCTCTTTAAATTCATAAATATAACCAATGACCAGTATCTCAAGGTTTTTCAATTCCTTGATGAAAGATAGGTTCACCAATTCACAATCACTTAAGACACAACATTCGGAGACCAACCAAATGTGAAAGTGATGATGGTGCTAGTTTCATGTTGTCCAAAACCCTAAACTTCAAGCTTTTTCATCCCTTCAAAAAAGTTATTTGGGAGTTCTAGTAGTGAATCGTCGGATGATCCTAATACTACGGTGCATAGTTCTAGACATTCTAACTGATCGGGAAGTCGACGAACATTGCAGGAAGCCCTTAATGAGATGGCTTTGCAACACTCATAATCATCTTTATCTGGCCAAACATTGACACCATCTTTCACTAGAATTGCAGTCTCATCTTTTGATGATGCATTCTCATCTTTCACTAGTTTCATTTTGACCATGTTGTCTTCTTCACCTTCTAACAACATATTAGATTTCTTGAGGATACCAATTATCACAAGTGTTCTATCTCTTGCTTGTTTCATTGATGTTCATTTGTGCTTTCAAGAAACTTTGTTCCTACTCCCAAAGGCACCAAAAGGTCAATAGGAATCTCAGTATCTTCAGGAAATAAAGAACAATGCAGAAAGCATGACTGCACGTCAGCCTGCTTCAAACACTTGTAGTTCCACTCAATGCATGAATACACCTTTTCTTCCACTCCAGCAATTTTATATCCCTCACAATGTTTCAATTGTTCAAGTGCATCATTCCATATATGCTTATCATCCAAACCGCTCAGTGCTCCTCCAACTGCACAAATTGTTGATGGCAAATGATCACATTCTCTGCACACTTGTTACGCTATGGAATGAATTTTAGGATGAGCTTCAATAAAATCTCCAACTGTTCTCTTGAATAGGTGCCAAGCTTCATCTAATGATAGGAGTCCAATTTGGAAGGTTTTTTCAAATCTCATCTTTTTGCACACTTTTAGTCTTCAAGAGGTCAGCAAAATTTTGCAACACATGCTATCATCTTCTGTATCTGCTGGAATACCTATTTTCTTTAATGTAATCTTATCATCCCAAACGTCATCCAATATTACAAGGATTTTTCTCCCATTCTTCAATCTATTGCATAGTTCACTCGTTCTCCCTTCTTCACTCTTTTTTTTCTAGTTTCAAATTTAAACAATCTGTAAGTTTTTCTTGGATTTTTTTCAGCTCTGGATTTTGGGAGAAAACTGCCATTGCGACCTCATCAAAAGGACCTTTTCCAACTTGTTTGCCAACTTCCTCCACCATTGTTGTCTTTCCTACACCTACCATTCCACATATCCCAATATTGGAATTCCCATCGTCTCTCAAACCCTCCATGATCTCCTCGAAAACTGATTTTCTGGTATCAAAATGCTCATAACTAGTGATGGATATGCACCGAATATCTTTGAGAGGAGTAGGCTGTGCAACTTCATCGCCAAACGTATTACGTTTCTCTTTAAGTTTGATAGCATCCATCGCCTTCTTTTTCCCATTCTTACCAATCCTATACCGTGAAGGTACATCAAGACACTTGAGATTTGTTCTGCCTTGCATTGATTTGTTCACTTCTTCTTCCAAAGTCGTCAACGACTGCTGCACTTCCTCCAGCCACTTCTCAGCATCCTTCTCAATGGTCATCCCATTGTCCCTGGCTCTGTTGACAGCTACTTGGACTCTGTCCCTCACACCTTTAAGATTGTTCACTTCTTTTTCCAAATTTTAAATATTTCAATTTGATGCCCAATTGATGCGAACAAATAGCCAAATATTGGATCTAATATTTTTCCCACAATGGCATCTATAACACCACTCTTTTTCAACTCACTAGCTAGCGGCACTTCTTTTATTTTTTTTGTTTAACAAACAAGATGATGGAATACAAGAGATATAGAAAAAGTGATCCACAAGAGAAAAGAGATACAAATTCAGATATAATAGAGATGTTAAACAACAAATGGCACAATAGAAATGCAAAGAACTCTGATTATTATGGTTTTAAAGAAGAGATTTTAAGATGCACCTCTAGCGCTTATGGATTTGTTTGCACCAAGCTAGTAATGAGATTGCAGATTGAGAGAGAATGAGTGATGCAAAAAGAAAGTGTTTACACCCTTATTTTCCACTTTCCAGTAGGAGATTACCCAGGTCGATTCCAATGGAAAGGTACTGCGGCGTTCCAGTGGAAAGTCTTACGACATATGGCAGCCAAAGAAGCAAGCGGTTACAAGTGGTTACATGCAAAGTTATAGGACACATGGCAACCTAGAAAGTAAGTGGTTACAAGTGGTTACATGCAAAGTCATAGGACACAATCTAGGAAATGGGCGGTTACAAACGGTTACATGTAACATAGGACACATGGCAGCCTAGGAAGCTGGTCGATTCCAATGGAAAGTTACTACGACATTCCAGTGGAAAGTCTTAGGACACATAGCAGCTAAAGAAACAAGCAGTTACATGCAAAGTGGGACACATGGTAGCCGAGGAAGCAAGCGGTTATAAGTGGTTACATGCAAAGTGGGACACATGGAAGCTTAGGAAGCAAGTGGTTGCATGCAAGCTTCCATTACTAAATTCTATAAATAGGGCATATCTTGTAACTTAGAAAGTCTGCTCAACGCCAATCAAACTACGCATTTCAATACTATCCTTACTTTTCATTGCAATGCACTTTCAATATGATTAGTTTCAGTCCTACACTTTACTTTTCATTCGATAATTTTACAGTCTTTCCAATTACTTTCTCAGTTCTTCCTAGCCAGTTAACAATCCCGAAGTCCTTTATCAAAGGCAAAAAGAACCTAGAGGTGGTCATTCCAGACCTCAACACAATCGCCTGGTCCCGCAGCCTTCCTTCTGGAATATTGTTTAGATCTCTCTTTGGAACTACTGCAGTTCCTGGCACGCCCATCTGGTTCTATCGGAACCAGCACCCACTTTTTTCAGGCCAAACATAGTGGCACGCCCAGTGGGACATTCTGAAAGGAGTGTTTCTATGGCGGGAGGAAAAAGACACAGCAAATCTGTTCAAGATTCTGCCGAAATTGAAATTGAACAGGCTATTGAACTTTTTAATGAAAGTTTACATGCCATTTTAGAAGTTCAACTACAAATTAATATGTTTAAGGCATGCATTAATGATGCACGTGACGAATTCCACTGAACTTTTTGAATAATTGCCGAAGAACGTGAGCAATTTTCTCGAGAATTCAAGGAAAGAATCCGAGAATTCGAGGAAAGGTGCCAACAATGGCGAGCACAGAAACAACCACCACCCGTGGTGTCGATTCCACCAGCAGTGAAGTTGATTCCGCCAGTAGTGAAGTCGATTCCACCACCACTTCCATTGCAGGTACAGGTTTCACCTAAGGTGCAGAACCCTTCAGCAACAGCGAAGTCGATTCCACCGGCAGTAGCTCAACCACTTCTATCGCAGGTGAAGTTTCCACTTGAGGTGCAGAATCCTCCACCAACAGCAGTCCAAAAAGTTCAATTTCATGTCCAACAGAATGTTCCACTTTTGAACATTCAGCAGCCTACAAACACACCACTTATGGCATTTCCGATGGCTTTCAAAATTGAACGCCCTCCAAGGAAACCTCCTGATCAAGGAGTAAATCCAATCCGCCGGAGGAGTATTCCTTTGGCAGACCCCAACCCACTTCCAATGGTGTTTGGGGGGCATCCAATGGCCAACCTACCCAAAGGTTTGCCAAAAAATACAAGCCAACTTGCTGACTTCTCCCAACAAGACTGTGGCTTGGTTATGAGGAAGGTCGACAAGAGTTTCCATAGGAAGCCGTTATCACTTCTTCCATTGGAAGAAGATTTTCCACAGCAAGATTTTCCTTCGGAAATGGCATATGCTTCTCAATCGTTGTATATTCTTCCACATGAAGAATATAACAGTCATAGTATTTTTCTTCCAATTTTGGAAAAAAATGCTATTACTTTATTTGTCCCAAATTCACATCTTGTGAATTTTAGGGGGCAAACTTGGCCAATCAACTATGTATTTGGCCTGAAGATGTACAAATCCGTCCTCCTCGTAAACCTCCAGACCCCGGGGGGCAATGAAATTGGACGTGAGGCTTCAAATCTTTGTTTTAGTTAAATAAAGCTGTTTAAAATTCTCAGCCCAAAGGTACATTCAGGCTGAAAAGTTTTAGTTATTAGAATATCAAATGGCAAATTCTCACTCACATCTAAAATTTGATATGCCTTACAATTCTTCAAGGAATATCAGGCACATCAAATTTGGGGGGCAATGTTTACACCCTTATTTTCCACTTTCCAGTAGGAGATTACCCATGTCGATTTCAATGGAAAGGTGCTGCGGCGTTCCAGTGGAAACTCTTACGACACATGGCAGCCAAAGAAGTAAGCAGTTACAAGTGGTTACATGCAAAGTCATGGGACACATGGCAGCCTAGAAAGTGAGTGGTTACAAGTGGTTACATGCAAAGTTATGGGACACATTCTAGGAAATGGGCGGTTACAAGCGGTTACATGCAACATGGGACCCATGGCAACCTAGGAAGCTGGTCGATTCTAGTGGAAAGTTACTACGACATTCCAG